GCCCGGGAAGCACGGCGGGGGTGTCCGGCGGGGGGGGGGCGGCCCCTTCTTCGGGACGCAGAAGCGATCTGGCGACAGGTAAGTCGCCAGGATCGCTTCTGTTGTAAAGCCGACAGTCGGCTCTACAAGTTTAAACAGAGTCCCGGCGGCAAAAGTCGCCGGGAGTCTGTTTAAACAGCCCCGATGCTGGCGATGTACACTGTACGTCGTCAGTCACGAAGGGGTTAAGGATGCTAGTGAGTTTTTCACTGATTATGAAGCCAGGTATGTGGTTTTTGGCTTCTTGGCAGGATCATTTTTTATTTTTTTTTGCAGACTGCTCTTGTGGATTTTTAAGCTGACACAAAAACGACATTTGCTAACATTTGATGGTAAAGAGAGAGGGTGCAGTCTAAAGGGAGTTTGAGACAATAAGGAGAGAAAGCAGAACACCAGAGGAAAACCAGTTTCATATCACCATCAGGGTCACAACCTTGGTCGTATTTTGTAGACAATAAAGGGCTGAAATGTGCCCCTCTGGTACAAACTAGGTACCATTTTATCGTTAACGGTACCATTTTATCATTAACCTTTCATGCAAAAAATATTTTATAGGAAATTTGTATGAATTCAACCCAGAAGGATACATTTGTATCCACAGTGAACTTATGGTTATTAATACATGGTTTTAGAAAACAGTTGTTAATACATGGTTTTAGAAAACAGTTGGGCGGAGCTAGCTGTCACTGCTAGCTCCGCCCAATCATTTTCTATTTTATTTTTTCTACTTTTTTAACTGTTTTTCTATTCTGCTCGGTACCACAGAGGTACCAGGCAGAATAGCCGAGCCGAATGACCCTATTCACTCACTGCTGTTCGGCATCTATGAGAATAGGCAGAATAGAAACGAGTAGCCTGCCGGAGGTTCGGCTCAGCCGGTCCAGATGTTGGATCGGCTGAGTCGAACTCCTTCTGCACTTCAGGTCGGCCAAACATGCTGAGCATGTTTGGCCGACCCGAAGCCAGCCGCAGCAAGCCGATGTACGGCTGATTTAATCAGTGTATGGCTGAAATCAGCCGTACAAGCCTGAAGTGAATAGCCGAACACCGTTCAGCTCACTTCACTTCGGGTCAGTTATTCACTCGGCTGCCTAAGGCAGCTTTGTGAGTAGACCCCTTAGTGTGCACTCTGCCAGTGCTGCACTAAAACTCCAAGCAATAGCATCAGGAGATTTTAGTGAACTTGATTTTGTGGCAAAATTGCTACTTTTGCATTTGTTCAAATGTTCTAAAAATTTTCCTCTTTTTTTTCCTGTTTAGCCCAGCAAGGGGAACAGCTCCAGAACCCCAGGAGAAGGCCCAGTGACATCACTTTCGCCTACAAGAAGAAGCCAAAAGCCAGGGGGTAAGGTGAATAACGTATACTTTTCTTTGTATTTTTCTTTTCACTTCGGGGTGTGTTTATGTAATGTTTGCAGAACAAACAGCTGTGCGAATATCTGTGTTTTAGATTCACAGAGCATTATGTCTACCAATATGTCCATAATGCAGTGCCTGTATAGAACACAGACATTCACATAGCTTTTCACTCGTTTTATAAACACACTACTTAGTGTTCCTTATGATATCACTTAGGGATCTGTTTACACATATTTTCACACAAGAATCACACACTTTTCACCCAATATTTTCACATTCTCTAAATTTATTAAATTGGAAAAACTTGTGTAAACCATGTGTTAAAATGTGATTCTGTGACTCTTGTGTGGAAAAAGTTATAAATAAATCCATTAGAGGTATATTTATTAAGCAGTGAATCTGACATTCACCAAACATTCATTGCAAGTGATTTTTCTGGGTGAATTTTATTACATGACACCCTTAAGCTTTTATGTCATAATTCACAACACTGAAATGAATACTATATAGAAAGCTATATGTTCTAGAGTTGATGCTAAAATTATGTCATGACTGGAAAAATGTACAAGTATCCGCTCTGTACTCTTATTTTTCTATGTTAAAAGAAATACAAT